TGAGCACCAGCGAGCTGATCTCTGAGCTGTTCAACGATTGCGGCTTGCTGGATTCCTCACAGCTGTGTAACTATGCCAATGTGAGCGTCACCAAGAGCAGCAGTGATGCTCTGCCTGATAGACCAGCAGGACAAGATGTCTACACTGCCATGTGGCAGCTCTCACTGGCCCTGGTCTTTAAGATGCTCATCACAGTGGTGACCTTCGGCATGAAGGTACAGGGTCAAATCCATCCGTCAATCCAATCTTCCTTAATTCTATCCGCTCATCTTTCCTTCTTTTCATTTTTCCATCATCCATCCATCCACCTCTCCCTTCATCTATCCAAACTTCCATCCTTCTTGCCAACCATCATCCATCCTTTCTTCCTTTCTTCTATCCACCCATCCCTACCTCTATAAATCAACCTTTCCACCCTTTTTTCCATCCATCCATCCATCATCTTTCTTTCTTCCATTCCTCTATCCATCATTCCTTCCTTTTTATCCATTTTATCTTTCTTCCATCCATTCATCCCTCCACCCATCCATCCTTTCTTCCATTTGTCCGTCTGTCCATCCATTCATTTTTTGTTTCTTTCTTCCATCATCCATCCTTCCTTTTTCCATCCATTCTATCATTTTCCTTCCATCCATCTTTTAACTCAACTCACATTTATTGTCAAATAAAATTTCCACCATTCATACATTTCTTTCTTTGTCTGTCTTTTTTTCCATTCCTCCTTCTTTCCTTCCATCGAGTCTACTTTCCCTTCTTTCTTCATCCATCCATCCTTCCTGTCTTCCTTCATTTTATCCATTCATCTTCTTTATTCCGTCATCCATCCATCCTTTCTTTGTTATTTTAATCCATTTCTTTATTTCTGTTGTTCTTTTTTCCTTTCTACCTTCCTTTCAACATGCATCCTTCCTTCATTTGGCATCTATCCATCCATTTCTTTTTCTTTCTTTCTTTCTTTCTTTCTTCATCAATCCATCCATCCTTTCATTCATTCATTCATATCTTCCTTTCTTCCATCTATCCATACATTCTATCTGACTTTCTTCCATCTCTCCCTCCGTCTTAGAAAGTGTCAACACACTGTCTATTTCAAAGAATTTAGTTTTTACATAGGCTGTTTTCTGTACTGTTGTGTCCTGTGTCTGTATGTTCCTCCAGGTGCCCTCTGGCCTCTTCATCCCCAGTATGGCTGTGGGAGCGATTGCAGGTAGGCTGCTTGGTGTGGGTATGGAGCAACTGGCATATTACCACCATGACTGGGTAATCTTCAGAGGCTGGTGCTCACCTGGAGCAGACTGCATCACCCCCGGCCTCTATGCTATGGTGGGCGCTACTGCCTGTCTGGGTAAGAGTTTATTCAAATTGTCTTCTGTTAAAAATGTGCCGTTAGTGGCTTGTCCTGGTACTTTTATCCAGGCCTGTTTTTCTTTCGTAGGCGGTGTAACTCGTATGACAGTCTCTCTGGTGGTCATTATGTTTGAGCTAACGGGCGGCCTGGAATACATTGTGCCTCTCATGGCTGCCACCATGACTAGTAAATGGGTGGCAGATGCTCTGGGTCGAGAAGGTATTTATGAGGCTCACATCCGTCTCAATGGTTACCCCTTCCTGGAGCCTAAGGAGGAGTTCAGCCACAAGACGCTGGCCATGGACGTGATGCGACCCCGCCGTAGTGACCCCCCGCTCTCCGTGATCACGCAGGATGGGATGAGCGTGGAGGAAGTCGAGTCGCTCATTGCTGAAACCTCATACAGCGGTTTCCCTGTGGTGGTCTCACATGAGTCTCAGAGACTTGTGGGCTTTGTGCAGCGCAGGGATCTGGTCATCTCTATTGGTAAGAGATTACAACTCTATATAGGACTTTTTTTTTATCTATAGCACCTTTCTTAGATCTTGGACTATGATTGCTGATGATGAACATCTTGGTGGACTGAAGAAGTAGCTCAGCCAAAAATTAAAATTCTGACCTCATGTCATTTCAAATCTGTAAGACTTTTGTGAAGCAGTTTTTTTTGTCCATACAGTAAAAGTCAATGGAGTTCAAAGGTAATTTGGACCCCATTGTCTTTCATTGGATGGACAAAACCGACTCTTCCATTAATTACTTTATTATAGGGATCATGTGTATTATACTCTAGGTCAATCATGAGAAGGTTTATTATTCTCCATTTCACTCTGGCAGAAAATGCTCGTCAGCGTCAGGAAGGTGTGGTTAGTGCCTCCCGAATCTTCTTCACTGAATACATACCTCCACAGCCACCCAACAGTCCTCCTCCGTTGAAGCTTCGTGGTATCATGGATCTCAGCCCATTTACCGTTACTGACCACACTGCCATGGACATCGTGGTGGACATCTTTCGCAAGCTGGGCCTGCGCCAGTGTCTCGTCACTCACAATGGGTAAAACCTTGGTTTGCTTAGCTTAGCCTGTCAGTTTTCAAGTTCTCAACTAGAGTGTGTCCATCATTTACATATGTCAGAATTATTACACATCACATATATTTAGGTAAGCTCAATATAATTTATCTCGTTCCTTTTTTTTTCCCCACAGGCGTTTACTGGGCATCATCACCAAAAAGGACATTCTTAAACATATGGCCCAGATGGCCAACCGAGACCCTGACTCTATTCTCTTCAACTGAAGTGCCAAACTGGCTGTTATGAAACACCAGTCAGTTTGAAACCACCCATTGGGCAGAAAACAGCAGTCTGGCCAAATTATTTGCACTACAGAACTGTCAGTACTGGGTTAGCGTCCATTCACACTGTGAATCCATTTGTAGAGCCTTATTGGTGCAGGCGCTACAACTGCAGGATGGAGGACCTTCGGCAGCGTTTTATGCACTCCAGCAGCTAGCTTAAAAGGTGGGAATGAGTGCAACCAAGTGTTGGTGTTTGCAAGTAGTCGACCTATCATAACATATCAATGCATCAAAACATATCACAGTATATTCCACACAAGGAAAACAGTTGCAATTATAAAATTTTGTAGCATAAATCTAAATATAGACATTCACCTACCCGGCCTCTGTTGGATTGTATTACTCAAACCCAAACACCTCTGGTGAAAAGACCACATCCACATCTTTCAGAATTTAAGAGACATTCTTATGTAAGTCAAGAGGAAGTCACAAGCAATCAGTAACAGATGTGCATTGCATATTTTCCTAGAGTTCTCCTGACTTCCACTACAGAATGGATGTTAATCATAAGTTAAAACCATTATTTGTTGTTTACATGTTCATCTACATTTTTTGTCTTTTTTTTATTTTTACTTTAAACAAGCACTTGCAAGTATTCCAGCATCTGAAAGCTCTTGGGACGAATGTCAAGTCTGTACCACGTTTCCAGACTTTGTAATCAGTCATAAGCAACACTGTGTAGTTTCTGCCAAGAAATTACACATTAAAATGATTAAAATGACTCATTCTGTATATATTTTCACACTACCATTTTACACTACCTTTCAAAAGTTTGGGTTCAGTAACATTGTTTTAAGTCTCTTCTGCTCACCAAGGGTGCATTTATTTGATCAAAAACAGTAAAACACTAATATTGTGAAATAATATTACAATTTAAAAGGTTTTTATTTTAATATATTTTGAAATTTAATTTATTACTGTGATGCAGAGCTGAATTTTCAGCATCATTACTCCAGTCTTCAGTGTCACATGATCCTTCAGAAATCATTCTGATATGCTGATTTGGTGCTCAAGAAACATTTCTCTTTTCAGGTTTCAATGCGGAATATAAAGTTCAAAAGAACTGCATTTATTTGAAATAGAAATCTGTATAAATAGAAATTGTAAGATTATAAATGTCTTTACTGATTAATGCATCCTTGTTGAATAAAAGTATTGATTTCTAAAAAAAAAATTAATAATGAATTCACTAACCCGAAACCTTTGATCAGAAGTCTATGTGGTTATCAAATGTTGTAATACCACTGTTAAAACCACACATTATGTAGCATTTCCCTATGCAAGTTAGGTTGCCAATATTTTTGGACAATATGTACGTGCAATCAATGCAAAATAACATTACACTATACTGTTAGTACAAGTCAGATTTTGCCTTTTAATTCTGAATACCTTCTCTTATCACAATCTCTTAATTATCCTATAATTAACATTTTCTGAAGCTTGACTAAATGGTACACAAGTTTTCTCCATTAACAAATGCTGCTTTTCTGCATTGCCTGTATCACTTATATTCCTATCACATGCATGTCCAAATGTAAGCTGTGCATGCAATTTGTAGTCATCTGAATTGTGTCATTTTATTGTATGCATATCAACCCAGATGTTTCCATTCTAATGTCTAAAGCCTGCATCTATCTGGCTCAACCTCTTTTAATAATTTGCATTTCTCTGCTAGCATACCACTCCATTCTACGTTTATGAAACTCACAGTGGGACACAGAGTGAATGCTAAGATCTTTGTAAGCAGTGCTTGAAACTCCTCCGATGGCACATTAGCTTGGCTGGTTCTCAGTCCTCAGCTAACTTTCACAGTATTTCCATTTTTTATCAAAATGTCACTCGTTTTGATAAATAAAGGGCCACTTTATTAAAAACATCTTAGAGCATCGTGAACTAATTGTTGAGAAAATATGTAATGGTTGTGTGCAATCATTTGTTGGGTTCTTTGTACTCAATGTTTAAATTGTGTAAACTTGTTTTGTTTTTGTTTTTTTATGTCAGCATTATCCATTAGTGTTAAATATGAATGTCACATTGTCATTGTAATTTATTCATAAGCATTACATGAAATATAATAACGTAACATGCTCTTCTGTGTTTTTTTTTCTTCCAGTGTGGACTGTGATATTTGGTGATGTTCTTCATGTTTATCAAAATTATTTCAAGATATCTGTCTGTCCTGGATATTTAAATTAGGAGCTTCAGGAAAATTGCAGTAACAGGAAAAAGCCATTCTTTGAAAAATGTTAGTTTAACTTTGGATTGTTTTGGTAAATTTGAGTCAAATTTGAGTCATGCAGAGTCTCACTCTTCATCTTACCCTGTTTTTGGCTCTAGATTATTTGCCAGACTTCAGACATCAGTGAATGACACTGGTTTGACTCATAATGCAAAAGAACTTCTTTTAATTAACTGGAGACTTCTGGGCCATGATTGGCCACACTGTCCCAGACAGTCTTTTTTAGGAAAGAGTGAACAGTATAAACAGTATAACATTAAAAATAGATGGAAACTATTAATCTGGCATGGTTTGCGTGCAGCTAGTTTTGTGCATTTGTTGGAAGGTTAAAATCTTACTTTTAAATAATTATTTTGGCTTTTTATGTGGTTAAATAGTGAAGGTCATTGTCCTCATTTTCAGGTTTTCCATCTTTCTAAGAAACGTCTTTACAAAGCCTTCACAGATATGCTCATGATCTGCCCATTCAGATGGGAGTCCAGAGTTTATCACTCTACTGAATCGTAAAATTTAGCCTATGAAGGTCAAATGGCCCTCAGACCACAATAACTAGATGAGTTGTTTGGTGTTTTGAACCCATCAGATGGTGGAGTATCTGTGGTTCCCTCTTTTCAAGGTTCCCAAGTGGGGCCTTCCGACAGGAACTATTTCCTTTCCCTTAGAATGAGACCACAAGCCCCAACTGGGTCCCTCAGAGGTCAAACAGGAAGGCCCCAAAGTAGCTGGAGGAGTCTTCTGCATACACAGCTGTGGGAGAAGACACGGAGATGAAGATCTCATCACCTGCACGAAGTTCAAACAGGCCTCCCTGGTAGATGGAGTGAAGGGCGTTCTCGCTGTCTGGAGACCAGCATTTGGTGCCCACACCCTTCAGGAGCTGAATTGGGCGGGCGTAGGCGGTCTTCTTGTAGACGCACTGCACCACCTGATGGCTGTCGGAGCCCGAGTGGTAATCGTCGATAGAGAGGGTGAGATAACGGAAGTAGACTTGGCCGTACAGGTAGTAGCGGCCTGCGCGAGGGATACGCAGGCGTCCGTTGGACACGGTCATGTTGTGCAGGTGGGAGCCAAAACTCTGGTTCCCCCAGGAACGAACGGGATGGCGGCAGGACTGGTGAAGGTCAGTCTGGGGGGTTAAGGATGTCGTACCTGGTATAACAAGAAAGGTGCAACAAACCTTGATCACCTCAGTGTATGGCAGAATTGATCAATCCTGCTTCAGTTCAGCCCTGCTCCAACACTCCTCCATATCATTTTAATGTGAAACTGAAATTCTTAAATAGATTTTCAGGTTCATTCTAAGGAATTGTTGCCATTTTGCCAGGATTTGCTACTGATTTACTTTTAGTATTTCAGTAGTATTTAATTTTAAAATGTACATTTTAAGTTAGTTATGCAAAAGAACTCTTCGAATAAAAAAGGAAAATAAGTTAAGACTAAAATATTAATTATTATTATAAATATTATTATATATTACACTTATTATATTAATATTAAATATTATAAATTAATATTTACTGTTAATAGTAATCAAATTAATAATTATAAAATTGAACAGATTTAAAATTAAAATGCTGATATAAATAATTATTATTTATAATATGAATTACAACAACAACAATAATAATAATAAACATTTTCTGATTTTAAAACATAAATTGCACCAATTACTAGAAACATACCTGACACTCTGCAGGACTGCCCATCTCTGGGGTTCAGAATATCTGTATAATCTTAAAATAATAAACTCTGTTCATTCCATGTCAATGTAGTTTTTTCACTATGAGTTAAAAAAATATTATAATAATCTGGTAATACTTTAGTGTAAGTAAGTGTAACTTTAGTCTAATATTTTAACATTGTCTAGTTACAAGCAATATATTTTTACGGCATTTATTAACCTTTGTTGATGTTAGTTAATAAAAATATATAGTTTAGCCATGAAACTCTAGATGGCGCAGACTGATGTTTTGTTAATGTAACTGATGATATTCAGAGAGTTAAACAACTTGGCACAAGCTGATTGGTTCATGCTGCATATGCAGCCAATGAGCTTACTGCCTTGCATTTATATAGCTGGCTAGCATTCACTTGAGATTCCTGCAGCGCGCTTTCAGAGTTCTCTGAAACCCTCCACCTTCCCCAGCTCCACCTGTATAGATCTGCTATGGGTTATTTTATATGCTATTTGTGCAGCAGCAGTATGTCTTAAATACTCATGGCACCGTATCGCCATATGCACTGGCAGTAGCAAGTTCCTGTACTTGCTTGCAGCAGCAGCAATAATCTACAACTACAGCAATAACCAACAGCAGCAGCAATTCAGCAGCAGCATAGCAGATCTGTTCCGCCAAGACCAAATACATTAACATTTTCATATCCATCACCATGCTAAAATGTTCAGAGAGTTGTCATGATTAAAATACATTTATTGTTTGTTCGTATGTTCACTGTACATTAATAACAGAACAGAAAAGATACAACTTTTAAAAATGTATTAGTAAATGTTGAAATTAATATTAGCCAAGCATTAATTAATAAATGCTGTAGAAGTATTGTTAGTATTGTTAGTTAACATGTTAACTTAAATAGTTTGGTAACATTAACAAATCTAACCTTATTCTAAAGTGTTACCAATAATCTTTATGCTATTATTTTAGTTTAACTTTATTGTTAAACTATGCAAAGCTTGTTTTCCATGACAAAACATGGTCCATTAAAATCATTCACATAGCCCTTTTTGGTAATGTGGGGAGATCTACTGAGATTTGTTTTGTGACTACAAAGCATTTGTCGAACTAATTTTATTTTTATTTTTTGCTGTTTTCATGTGATATATCTATGGAAGCCCGTTTCCGCCACTGAATAAAAAAAAAGGTATTTGCGAGTTTATATCTCACAATTCTG